GACAGAGCTAGTTTTAAATTTCCCACAATTATAAATTTTATGAGAATCTGACTGACAATACTCACATGATGATTTATTTGTAAGCAAGCTTACACGTTGAGGTCTGCTAGCTGTAGCTCCAGACATCCTTTCTTGCCCTGTAGTGGCCTCTAAAGCAATAGCCTTATTTTCTAAAAATAATATTAAATCAGATAATTTATATGGCTTATCCCTATTTATCTGTTCCATATAAAAAGATCGTACTGTGTACTGGTCTATTTTTTTTGTTAATATACATATTAAAACCATGTCCCAACTGGAAACAGGCTGGTCTAAACTCTCTAGTGCACTCAAATTCTGTTTGACATCAGCAATTAAGTTTCTTAACGCTAGAGCTGTACATTTTGTAATTGGCACTATATCAAATAATTTATTTACATGATCAATAACAATTTTATTTTTATTGTCATATCGTTCTACAATCAGGTTCAATGACCTTTCATAATTCTCATCTAAGAGCGGTAAATTTTTAATAATATCTAGAGGCTCACCTCTGAGAAAACTACGTAAGTAATAAAACTTTTGTGTATTATTTAGACTTGCGTTTTTGTCGATAAGCGACCTAAATAAATTTAAAAACGGATAAAATTCTTCACTTTTACCTGTGAAGGATTGAATTTCAATTTTAGGTAAATTGACATGGTGCTCGTTGCTTACTGATGGTGATGATGACAATGCAGACTGATTACTATTTAACGTTGTTAACGCAGATTGCAAGTTAGACAATGCAAGTAAATATTTGTCTTCATAATCATCGAAATCTGCATCGCCTCGTTTTTGAGATAACGTTTTAAAATGGTTATCAGTATATTTTTCGAACGTATTTTTTAAGTAACTAATTTTTATTTCCAATAAACTGGATGTTACCTTTTCTCCAATGTTAGATGCAAAATTATAAATTTTAGTTATCGAAGCCTTTAGTTGACTTCGAGCAGCCACCAATTCCTCTATGTTATCCATTCTTAAAACTATATACAACTACACAAATCCAATATTTATACAAATTTAAGAGTTTCTACAAAATAAATTTTCACAAAAATGGCTTCTTTTTGTTAGTCACACAACACAGCACAGAAAAATGGCGCGACGACGCTACACCGGCTTGACGTTCTGTTCCGGACGAGAAGACTTGCGCAGTGCAGCAAACGTCCACAGCGCAAGCGCGAAAACGTGTTTCGCCCAATCAGCGCACACAGCCGCTGACGCACTTTGTTGTACCAGCCAATAGCCAAGTTCGACGCCGACTAACTTGGAAATGGCTCCCCGCGAACAATCTTTTAAAGGACGCGGCGCCAACTCAAAATGGCGATGATGGAACCAATTTATTTCTTCACTAGTGAAGCAGTATCTTCTTTGTTTTTGCCCAATGATGGACCATTTCTTGTATTCCAAACGAAGTACTATTTTTTATGTTCCAAACGAAGGACCATTTCTTATGTTCCAAACGAAGTACTTTTTCTTATGTTCCAAACGAAGGACCATTTCTTATGTTGTGTGCGACGCTCAATGTTAATTTATTATCATCCATAGGTCGTTTCTTGAGTTCACAAATTATAAAATAAAAACATTGCACTTGTAAACATAAGAAAGAATTTATTATTTACACACCTTGTGTTACATTAGATTAATTTATAATTTGTAATATTTAGCCTTTAAGACTACTTAATAATAATTAATTTAATATTTGTGGCTATAGCCCACACGCGTCTCAAAAATTAGAAGTTCGAGAAGACCGCCAAAAACGGCAAAACTTTTTAAATCAATTTTTTGCTATGCAAAGGAATTTGTGTTCATTCTGCTTTGAACAAAATAAATAAATATACGTTTCTTATTTACCAGAGACAAAGTGTTTGCTGGATACGGCAACTCATGAATGTGTAATTGGATTCAAGAGTACTACAATGTTTTGTAAAGAATATCTTGAAAAAAAGACGCGTCATTCTAAGAAATGTTTGTTTAGTTTTGGAGGACATAATATTTTCGTACATGGCGAACTAAATATTACACTAAAATCGATATGTCAGGCTGTAATAAAAAATATAAAACTACATGCCAACTTCTGCATAACACTTATATTCTTTTTTAACCATGCAAAGCTTGTATACATTGTCTTGTACACATTTTAGGAGTTCTACAAATACGTAACTGAAGAGTTCAAGTCCGTAATAACGTAATTATAGAATAATATTAATTAATTATTCATTCTCTTAGTTTTATAGTTTCTGCCATAGTTCATGGGAAAAGGCATAAGTTTATGTGTCTATTTACAACTTATCCTAATACAAAATCATTTATTATATTATAAATTTCGGCTTACCTTTTGGCAACATTAAACGTTATGATAACACCAAAACTCTTTCGGTGGGAATCCCCCAAATTCCCGGCTTTTTTTTTTAAACTTGCGATTGATTTTGCAAGATTTTATATAATAATTATACAGAATAGAGTTCTTTGTTGATCAAACGGGCACCGGAGGGAATCCCCGTTGTTTGTGAATATTTGGGTGTATTTAACAATGAAAGTTTGAAAGTATTTCGCAATTGTTTGATCTAACTCGTAGCAAATAGAGTTTGATATTGTGGATTGAGCAAGCTAAGGGAAACCCCAGGATTTTTGTTTTGTTTCGTGAATTTAGAAAATATATCAAGTCCATACTCAGTCATCACGTGTACCTGCGAGAAAGCTGACCTGATATTAAGTTTTGTGTATGTGCCGCGAAGTTTGACACTTGCTTTTTAGAGGCTTTATATCATAAGTTTTTAAGTAACATACGTAGTACACATATACTTCAACGAAAATGTAAGTACCTTAATTTGTCTACTTAACTATATAATTGTTACTTATATTATATGTTTTGACGGTACTTATGTATCTAGTCTCCGCTATAATATTACAAAGACGAATTGTTTTTATTAAATAAAAACAAAAACTACTGAACAGAATTATTAAATTCTTTCACCAGTAGAAAGTTACGTTATTCCTAGGTATCATAGGCTATAAGGGGCCTCCCTCTTATAGGAGGCGTGCGAATTCGCTGACAGAAGATAGTTTTATATATATGGTGCTTAACAATAGGTATGTTATTTATATTAACTATAACACATTTTTATTGTTTTAGGTCTGCAATAAAATATGTTTATAAAGAGTTTTTGAACAAGCGCACAAAATCAACTATATGGGAACACTTTTTGAGAGCTGAAGATGGGGAAAGTGTCCAATGTAAACATTGTCAAAAAATTTTGAAGACCCCTGGTGGTGCTACTGGAGCACTACACACTCATATGCGTGCTAAACATATTGGCGAGATGTCGCAAGAGCAAGATGTGCAAAGGGCGAGTACTTCATAGTCTATTCAGGTACAATCAAAAAGAAGAAAGCTAAGCTTACGGATTACTTTTCCAGTGATAATTCCTTGGACATCTTAGTGACTACAATGGCAGCATATGATGGAATTCCATTAAGTAAATTTTGTACTTCTGAAGGTCTAAGGTATATTTTCAAAAAATCTGGTTATGATCTACCGAAATTTCCTTCCACTATTACCAAGATCGTTCTAAAACAGAGTGACACCACAAAAAACAAATTAATCAGTCTGTTCAAAGAGATGAAGTCCCAAGAAAAACGATTTACTATAACATTCGATGAATGGACCTCTACCCGAAATCGGAGGTATATGAATATAAATATTCACAATAAAGATTTAGAGCCAGCTAAATATAGAAATTTAGGTCTTCTAAGGATAAAAGGTTCAATGCCAGCTCACGTTGGAACTGTACTGTTAGAAAATCATCTGAGTGACTTTAATTTGAAACTTGAAGATATAATTACATTCACAACAGACGGAGCCAGTGTTATGATTAAAATGGGCAAAAATTTTGTGGCCACCACCAGTTGTGTTTCGCACTCGGAATACAACTTGCGGTACTGGAGGTATTGTATAAGACACGGAAAACAACAATTACGGAACCAGAACTAGAAGATGAAGAGTCGGATACTGACGCTGATGAATCAGACGAAATAGAATAAAACGATGGCGGGCTTTTCATAGAAGTACTTAAAGTTTTAGAACCTGAGTTTCTGTACAAATAAACTATAGAAAAGGTCAGAAAACTGGTAAAATATTTCAAGAAATCACCACTGAAGAGCGATTTATTGCAAAAATATTCTTTAGGAGAGCATGGTAAAAGCCTTGAGCTTATATTAGACTGCAAAACGCGGTGGAACAGCTTATCAGATATGGTTGGACGATTTCTGAAATTAAAATCAAGTTTATTTAAATCATTATTAGATTTAAAATCAGATATAAGTTTCACAAACACATAAATACAAGATCTTCATAACATTCATAATAGTTTAGATATAATAAAAACTACAGTGATGGCACTGTATCGCCGAAACTACAAAAACTGGTAAAATATTTCAAGAAATCACCACTGAAGAGCGATTTATTGCAAAAATATTCTTTAGGAGAGCATGGTAAAAGCCTTGAGCTTATATTAGACTGCAAAACGCGGTGGAACAGCTTATCAGATATGGTTGGACGATTTCTGAAATTAAAATCAAGTTTATTTAAATCATTATTAGATTTAAAATCAGATATAAGTTTCACAAACACATAAATACAAGATCTTCATAACATTCATAATAGTTTAGATATAATAAAAACTACAGTGATGGCACTGTATCGCCGAAACTACAACTTGTTAGCAGCGGATGCTGCGCTTCAATTTATGCTTAAGAAACTTGATGGGCAGCCCAATAAGCTCAGTGATAACCTCGCCGTATAACTTCGAAAACGAATACAAGAAAGACGAACAAATGTGTCTGGTGTTTTGCAATATACGCATTTACATAAAAATGAAGAATTTTATAGAACCGTAGAAACAGAAACTTTTTCAAAACCGACATCGGATTATATTAGAACATACTTTACAACCTTATTAGAAAGACTAAAATTTACAATGCCTGCAAGTACACAAATGAATTTGGATTCCGAACTAGATGACATAGATATCGGTGATGGTGGCGGCGATGAGTTGACTGTTGCACAGCAACTAGATAAAGAAATACAGAAAACTATGACTACAGTACAGAAATCTGGAATAAACACAGATCTTGAATCTATTATAAGAGTTGAAATGTGTATCTACGATAGCGCTGGCGGTGGTCGTGAAGTTTTCCTAACAGCAGCTTATAACTATTTACTTTCTATAATGCCTACAAGTGTTGAAGCAGAACGAACCTTTTCTTCTGCCGGTTATCTTTGTTCCAAACTTAGAAGTTCTCTTAATGACAACATTGCACTCATTATCATTTATGAGATCATAATTTCAAGAACAAAGATTAAACAAACAACCGAATGCATAATATATTTTAAATTTTTGTTTTATGTTCAATCTTTATTATGGTTTCTTGATTTGTAAACAATTCGTTGCTGTTAATTGTTGATTAAGTTGATTTAGAGTTTAATTTTAAAATGATTATGTAATATCTCTAAATTTCTTATTAATTCATTAATAAAGTATTTTTTATCATTTGAAAATGATTTATTTTTTCGTGCTTTGAAAATATCAATACAGTTACATAATTACGTAATTGGTGCACCTAAATGCGTAACTAGTTACGTAATTAGCAAATCCGTTATTTTGGAAACTCTAGACGTGTCCCAATAGCTCTCAGGCCGATGTTCATAGAAGAACTAAAAAGGTTGGAAGAAGAGGGAGTAGTTACAAAAGAAAATGGTCACACAACTTTGCTGTTCGCTGGCCTCCCTGATATCTACAAACCGATGATCATGACTATAGAAAACTCAGGTATGTCGATTACTGTAAAGCCTCAGATACAGGATCCTCCTATGTAAAATAAAATGAACAAATCAAAGTAATTGAAGTCTTGCAATAACTCATAACATAAATATTAAAAGAAAGGTCTCCGATGGTACAATCGTAACAAGTATAATTGCTAAGACTCATTAGGTGAAAGTACAGAATTTACGTTGGCGGTGGCGCTGGCGGTGGTCGTGAAGTTTTCCTTACAGCAGCTTATAACTATTTACTTTCTATAATGCCTACAAGTGTTGAAGCTGAACGAGCCTTTTCTTTTTCCGGTTATCTTTGTTCAAAACTTAGAAGTTCTCTTAATGACAGAACATTGCACTCATTATCATTTATGAGATCATAATTTCAAGAACAAAGATTAAACAAACAACCAAATGCATAATATATTTTAAATTTATGTTCAATCTTTATTATTGTTTCTTGATTTGTAAACAATTCGTTGCTGTTAATTATTGATTAAGTTGATTTAGAGTTTAATTTTAAAATGATTATGTAATATCTCTAAATTTCTTATTAATTCATTAATAAAGTATTTTTTATCATTTGAAAATGATTGATTTTTTCTTCTAAAATGCCCAATAAGCGCAGAAACCATCGTGCTTTGAAAATATCAATACAGTTACGTAATTACGTAATTGGGGCACCTAAATGCGTAACTAGTTACGTAATTAGCAAATCCGTAATTTTGGAAACTCTAGACGTGTCCCAATAGCTCTCAGGTCGATGTTAATAGAAGACATAAAAAGGTCGGAAGAAGAGGGAGTAGTTACAAAAGAAAATGGTCACACAACTTTGCTGTTCGCTGGCCTCCCTGATATCTACAAACCGATGATCATGACTATAGAAAACTCAGGTATGTCGATTACTGTAAAGCCTCAGATACTGGATCCTCCTATGTAAAATATAATGAACAAATCAAAGTAATTGAAGTCTTGCAATAACTCATAACATAAATATTAAAAGAAAGGTCCCCGATGGTACAATTGTAACAAGTATAATTGCTAAGACTCATTAGGTGAAAGTACAGAATTTACGTTGGCGGTGGCGCTGGCGGTGGTCGTGAAGTTTTCCTTACAGCAGCTTATAACTATTTACTTTCTATAATGCCTACAAGTGTTGAAGCTGAACGAGCCTTTTCTTTTTCCGGTTATCTTTGTTCAAAACTTAGAAGTTCTCTTAATGACAGAACATTGCACTCATTATCATTTATGAGATCATAATTTCAAGAACAAAGATTAAACAAACAATCAAATGCATAATATATTTTAAATTTATGTTCAATCTTTATTATTGTTTCTTGATTTGAAAACAATTCGTTGCTGTTAATTATTGATTAAGTTGATTTAGAGTTTAATTTTAAAATGATTATGTAATATCTCTAAATTTCTTATTAATTCATTAATAAAGTATTTTTTATCATTTGAAAATGATTGATTTTTTCTTCTACAATGCCCAATAAGCGCAGAAACCATCGTGCTTTGAAAATATCAATACAGTTACGTAATTACGTAATTGGGGCACCTAAATGCGTAACTAGTTACGTAACTAGCAAATCCGTAATTTTGGAAACTCTAGACGTGTCCCAATAGCTCTCAGATCGATGTTAATCGAAGACATAAAAAGGTCGGAAGAAGAGGGAGTAGTTACAAAAGAAATTGGTCAGACAACTTTGCTGTTCGCTGGCCTCCCTGATATCTACAAACCGATGATCATGACTATAGAAAACTCAGGTATGTCGATTACTGTAAAGCCTCAGATACTGGATCCTCCTATGTAAAATATAATGAACAAATCAAAGTAATTGAAGTCTTGCAATAACTCATAACATAAATATTAAAAGAAAGGTCCCCGATGGTACAATTGTAACAAGTATAATTGCTAAGACTCATTAGGTGAAAGTACAGAATTTACGTTGGCGGTGGCGCTGGCGGTGGTCGTGAAGTTTTCCTTACAGCAGCTTATAACTATTTACTTTCTATAATGCCTACAAGTGTTGAAGCTGAACGAGCCTTTTCTTTTTCCGGTTATCTTTGTTCAAAACTTAGAAGTTCTCTTAATGACAGAACATTGCACTCATTATCATTTATGAGATCATAATTTCAAGAACAAAGATTAAACAAACAACCAAATGCATAATATATTTTAAATTTATGTTCAATCTTTATTATTGTTTCTTGATTTGTAAACAATTCGTTGCTGTTAATTATTGATTAAGTTGATTTAGAGTTTAATTTTAAAATGATTATGTAATATTGTAACACTGGAAAATTTGATGTTGTTTTATTTTAACTTTCACAACATTTTATTACTCTTGTCTAGTAATGTTCAAGTATATTGTGATTTCTAAACATTGTTTTGAGGATGTCAACTTACCATATTTTTCTGGTAAAGCCATTAGGGCATAAAAATTGTTTTCACTAATCTAATTTCATTATTCCTTAACCGGTGACAATCTTCCACTCATATGTACCAATCTATCAACCACCAAGATACAAAATAGAACCAATAGTTTGTCTTAAAATTATAACTTTAACTGTTTTCTCATTTGCTTCCATTAGAGATAACCTTATTAATTTTACAAAATAAAATTGAACCTATTGTTTACAAAACACCAAAGCATTTATTTTGACACTTGGTGTACGTTCCGAAAGCCGTAATTAACCTTAGAATTTACCTTTACATATTTATATTTTCTTCCAAATTAAATTTCTTTTCCCAATTTTTTGTAACAAATAAGTAGTATATGGTCTCCTTTTATAGAATACAATAAATTCATTAAGAATACAATAAACAGCTATTTAGAAAACTCATTTTTATAACAAAATTATTAAATCAGACTTCAGGTTTTAGAACGTTGAATTAAGAAAATAAAGCAATAGTGTGAAGTTGTCACCTAGTTATATTCCTTTGTATGCAGGGTTTTGTCAGTTTTTTCATGCATATTTGCATGTGTCCTATAATTTTATTTTCAATTCAATAAAACATAAATATTTTATTTATGTATTTTTCCTATTAAATTTTTAAAGGTCAAAATTTGTAGCCATTGTGTGTTGTCCGTGAAACGGAGTTGCTTCATTTAACAGCTGTTCAGGTCGCTTGAGTCGAATGGAAATGGAAATCGTATTTAAGTCGGAACCCGGCTTTGTCTTTCCTTTTATTCTGCTGATCATCTAAGAGTGAAGAGAAGTCTACAAGTCTACCGTGTCTCGGCTCGTTTTGTTGAATACGTGGGGTAAGTTTCCTATTGTCTTATTCTCGAACTTTTTGTAATCCTTGTTTTGACATTGAATTCTTTGAACAAGTAAAACGTCTTTTCCTTGTTTTCTTGAAGAAGGACCCCCACGAGTTGTTACCTTGATAGGCTTGTGATCTAAGACTTTCCTATGGTTCCACAGCTTCCATTCGTGGTGATTTCGAAGCAGGGAAGGCCGAGCAGTGCTGCGAATTTGTGGGCGCCGGTCGCATAAGTGTTTTTTACAATTTTTCGCCTCTCAAACCGTGAGTACCATTTTCGTGCATTAACGTGTAGAATCTTTATTTTCTTGATTATCATATTGAACAGATAATTCTTTCCCTTAGATTGAATCGTGGCATTTTGGTTAATAGTAAAGTGTTTGAACTACCCCTATATATTTTTCTTAGTCACCCTCATAAATAATTAAAACTTTTCATGAGTTGTTAGAGTCTGTATCTTATTAGTTCTAATGAAATAAAGTAAAACAATTAAATTACTGGTAAATTTGAAAGTGAATAAATGTCCGCTGTCTGCGACGGACTGAATATTATATAGTAGATGTACAGCACTCTTTTGTCCGATACAGGAGAGGCTGTCTGGTACGGGCTGTATTATACGAGCTGTCTGGTACGGGCTATATTATACGAGCTGTCTGGTACTGGCTGTAGTGTACTGGCTGCCTGGTGCAAGTGTCCGGTATAGGTTGACGGTACCACCAGAAACCGTATGTAAATTCTATACTGCTCCATGTGGATGGGTATCTGTGGTTTGACCCACCTTCATTACAGAGCTGAATAAAAAGGAGCACCTGATTGTTTTGTTGTTGAGGTGGAAGAAATTGTATTAAATTTATTTAAACAAAAGACAAGCTGAACATTGAGCTGTGCCCAACTATTTTTGTGTTTAGTAACATTAAGTTTAATAAATGTTATTTTCTGTCTACGACTTATAACGCTGGACAGTGAGACCGTAGGACAACAGACAGCCCCCGGTTTGTTGTGTTGCCGTACTCCTTCTGAGTACGGCAGCGAAGCCAAGGTCAAACAAATAAATACCTTTTTTTACTTAAAGGGGGTAATTAGTGATTTGTAATTAGTGATTTGTAATTAGTGATTTGTAATTGGTGATTTGTAATTGGGGATTTGTAATTGGTAATTTGTACTTAGTAGTTTGGAATTAATCATTTGTAATTTGTATAAAAATTATAATTGAATTTTAAAAATTGTTATTTCACTTCATTCAAAAATAAATTGTACACCATTTATATTTTTTAATTTCTTTTCTCAAACCAAAATTATAGGAGAAATCCGTTACAAATATGGCGCCCGAACATTAGGGACAGTGCTTAATGTGGCTTATTCCTCTGACCTGTGGTCTTTTGCTCGCGGTCGGGTCAGCTTGTCTTACCAATTTTTTGTTCAGAGATAATAACTATAAGTGTGTTTTATATTTTTATTTCTATGACTGTCTGTATTAATTTGTGTATATGCTTTACTTTATTAAGGTATATTAATAAATAAATATTTTTGTAGCGGTTATATTTAACTGTGACATAAGTTGATTTTGTGTGGGTACTTTAATTATAAGTGCGTTTATAGATAAATTGTATTCAACTGCAGTGTATAAAGTAGAATAATACCATGGCCCAACTACAGGAGCGTCCCATTAAATTTAATCTCTTGAGTAAAGATGAGTTAGTTTATGAAGTGCAAATTAGGGACGGTGTGCCAGCCAATACTGTGGACAAACTCCGTATACAAATAAGGGAATTGAACGCGCTTATCCCCACAGATGAGGTCTCTTCTTTTACCGGAGATATTCACTCCGAGTTGAAAATTATTCAGAAAAAATTGGTGGAACTGGAGGCGTTGTGTTCCCAGCACCCCCTTATGTTGAAACAGTTAAATAAGATACAGGCTTTAGGAAATCATTTGTTCCATAGGCTTAGCCGATTAGAACCCGCAGACGAAGAGAATTGTCAATTTAAATCCAGTCTCGACAAACGTTTGGCTGTTATAACCTCTCGTATGGATAGGATAGCGTACAATTTCCGAAGTAGCTTTGAATTTCAACCCGCTGAGGAGGATGTTGGAGGTTCCGGCAGTACTGATGCGGCTTTGAAGACAGTGAAGGAGCCATTAGTTAGTGTGGTGTCTTGCGATAGAGTTTCCCAAGTGCACGCCTTGAATCATAAATTTAATGGGAAGGGTAGTGTCCATGCGTTCTTGGAGAGATTAGAAGAGCTTTGTACGTCGCGAAATGTTTCTCATTCTAGACTTTTCACTTCTGCTTCAGAATTATTTTCTGAAGAAGCTTTGTGGTGGTATCGTAGCATTAAGGATGATGTTAAGAATTGGGAGGAGTTAAAGGCTTTGCTCTTCAAAGACTTCCTACCTCATGACTTTGATTATAGGTTACTACAGGAAATTCGTTCGAGGACACAGGGCCCTGATGAGTCTATTATTAAATATTTAAGCGTCATGCATAATTACTTTGCTAGGTTGCGACGTTCCCTTAGTGAAGAGGAGAAGTTGGAGATAGTGAAGTATAATATTAGGCCTTTCTACACTACCCAGCTGGCTTTGGTGGATATCGAATCTATTGAAGAATTGAAGAGCCATTGTCAACGATTGGAGGCTGGCAAACAGAGGGCTGAGTTATTCACAGAGCCTCGCGTTTCTACTAATTCTATTTCGCCTGATTTGTCGTATAGGGGTAGGCTCGGTAAGGTTTGTTCAAGGGTTGAGACCCCTGAAGCATTTTGTGTACGCTGCCGTGTCGGAGGGCATACTTTAAATAAGTGTAAGGCCCCTCGTACCCTTGTTTGCTACAAGTGTGGGGAAAAGGGCGTTACTTCTCTCACATGCACCAAATGTGGTACTGGTGCAAAAAAACTAGCCGTGGTGGGCCGTCGCTGTATCGCAGCTCGAGGGGAAAAGAGGTGGCGTCGGTTCCGTAATGTCCATCGGCCGACGGTTTCTCCAGTTGCAACGGTCCACCCGCTTCGTAATGACTTTAGGCCTTATTTGAGAGTGGACATAGGTGGTCTTCCGTTCTCTGGTTTATTGGATTCGGGGTCGGAGGTCTCAATTATTGGAGGATCAGCTGTAGATTATTTTACTGACCTTGCTGTTTTGCACAAGGATCGTGATTTAGATTTTATTATAGCTGCTAATGGTTCTACTACTGCTGTTAGCGGTGTTATGTTTCTGCCTGTTGTTCTTAGAAATATACAACGTGTAATTAAATTCTATGTGATACCTGGTATCACGAATTCTCTCATTTTTGGTATAGATTTCTGGCAGGCTTTCCACTTAGCACCGGATATACTTAGTCTAACTGGAAGGAAAGATTTAACTTTTCTACCTGAACATATCGGCGCGGTTGTATCTTTAGTCAATCGTCTTCATCCTTTTGATACCTTGGACGATGATCAAAAGGTGTTAGCTGATCGGGTCTGTAGAATGTTCGAGGAAATTTCGGCAGAGAAGAAAGGTTTAGGAAGGACGCACTTGATAACGCATCATATTGATACAGGGAAT